CATGGTTCTTGAGCCCTCTGGTTGACCAATATCCAGTTACAGAGCTTTTGTAGATCATTCCCCTAGAGCTCTGATATCCATACACCTTTGACAGCTTTGTATTTCAAAAGCACCACCTCAAGGCCACATTTCTACGTTATACTCATTGGCCTATTCTAAGCTATCAACCGGCCTCCCAACCTACACTGCTAAATGTGCCACTGAATTAGGATATTCCATTACTGAAGAAGAATGAGTTCTTTTTTTTATATTTTCTCATAAATTTTCAATGCCTTGCACAGTCTTGGAGGCCAGTTGATTCCCCTATATTGGAAATCTAGCAAGACTTCTTCTTTGCCTGAATGGCTGGACACACTCAATGATTTCATGCATATGGAACAGCAGGCCGGTATCTGATGACAGGAATGCCAATGAAAAGATCCCTAACAGTTGGTCTGCATGGATGGCTTTTAAGGAATTTTAACAATGTAGAAATTTTCTGGCTCAGTTACACAAGGGTGGAACTAATGAGTAGGAGAACCAATACTATTGGCAAAAGAATTGGGGGACCAAGATTAGCTTGTGAAACCTAAACTCACAGCTTTAAGGTGTAGGTATTGATTTCGAACTGAACCTATTCATTTTTATTACACTCTTGATGAAACCAATTGAGATTATAAGAGAGAATTGTAATTTTTATAATATATCTCTAAATCAGGAAATACAGTTCCCCAGCGTTCGTTTTTCCTTACCAAAGTACTACGGTTAAGTCCAGGCTTACAGGATTTCCAAACAAAATTGACAATAAGCCTAAGGAGTTTAAAATAAGGATTTGGGTATAGGAATACTTTGACACAAATATAGAAATCTTAGGGGAAAATCCATTTTAATCACATTGATATATCCTGAATGCTGCTGCCAGACTCATCCACCTTACTAACCGTTCCATATCTGCCACCCCTCTCTGCCAATCCCTCCACTGGCTTCCCATTGCCCAACAGATAAAATTCAAAACATTAACAATAAAAATATAAAGCCATTTATAACTCTGTCCCAAATTACATCACCAATCTTGTCTCCAAATATCACCAAAACCGTCCTCTCTGCTCCGCGCACGACCTCCTGCTCTCTAGCTTCCTTGTCTCCTCCTCCCATGCTCATCTCCAGGACTTCACCAGAGCTTGCCTCATCCTCTGGAACTCTCTACCCCAATTTATCAGACTATTGCCTACTCTGCTCACTGTTAGGCAATCTCTGAAAACCTCTCTCTTCAGGGAAGCCTATCCTGCCCTCAGCTAATAATGGAATCTTCTACTCTTCCTACCAGTCCATCCCCCACAGTTACTACCTTTTTTTTACCACTAGCCCCTCCCTCTTAAATTGTAAGCTCCAAGGAGCAGGGCCCTACAAACCCTCTTGTATTGAACTGCATTGTTGCTGTATTGTCTCCCGTTATATTGTAAAGCTCTGAGCAAACTGTTGGTGCTATATAAATCCTGTATAATAATAATAATATATTTGATCCACAATAATGTTAGAAGATCAGACTTCATTTTCAACAAAAGAGGTATATCATTTAAAGCATAAAGTGAGTTAAGATCAGTGGGAAGTTTAACCCCCAAGTATTTTATTGCAACAGGTGACCATTTAAACGGAAACATGATTGCTAGTCACGAAATTTCAGATTGGGGCAGTTAAAACTATCTATGTAATTTTATTAATACTACTTAACATATTTAATTTGGATTTAGGTTGAATCACTCACTGAATTCTGAGAGCAAGATCTCTGCAGTAAAATGACCAGATTTGCTAACCTACAGTGGCCATCGTGAAGGTGTTTCACTCTGTTTAGCCCACCAAAGTCCATCTAAAACTTTAATATGAACTCTCGATGGATTTAGCCTTTAGTCAACCAAAAGTCATATTTGAGTTATAGGTGTGTAGGGGGCAGGGGCTAGAGACTGCTTCACATGATGTAGCCAAGAGCCATGATGTGGGATGATGACAGGAGGTCTATCCCCTGTCAGGTTCTTCTGGGCTACACTAGGTACCTAATCTAGGGTCACCTCCCTTGCATATGGGGTACCTTTACTTGTGCCGTATCTATCAATGCCCCAGGACAAGACTGAGGCTGCTTTCAGGGAATACTCGACCTTAAGGTGGACCTCTGAATTTAGAGATGGCCGTACACTTGAACAATAACTGTACTCCAGTTAACTCTCTTCCCCATGTAAATGTTCACCTTTCTGTAGACTGTTGCATTTATGAGGGACACGCTAAGCCTATGTCCACTCCACCTGTGTAGCGTATCTCCACTACCTCACTCCCAGTAATGGAATGGAGCTCCGCTCTGCACCTAGTGCACACTCCATACGTGCAGTTACTTAACTCTTGTTCTTTTCTATCTATTCACAGGCCGAGGGCCTCTACGGAGAATCTGTTCCGGTTGCTCTGAGAGATGGGCAGCTCATGGAGAGAGTGCCGACAACATCTCACTCACTGCAAGAGGCTGTCTCACCTATCACAGGTACACACTTCACATCAGGCTGCTTGTTAGACCTCTGTTACCCTAGGTAATCACTTTGCTACTGTATACTCATACCCCAATGTGGTATGAGTGACCCCTGTTATAGACTGTGTGGTGCTGGTTACTTACAGTATACTTCTTTTAGTAAATTCAGACCTGGCAAGGCAAAGTTTCAAAAGCTTTACTAAGAAATTCCAAATATTACAAAGTTCAAAACAAGTGCATTCTTCCCTATCAATGCTACTCCCTAACTCAGGCTTACTGGCTACCCCAGCATACCTGGATAGGCAAAAGTCCATTCTTGGTAGTGTCTATTATAGCAGAATACAGGCTTGGCATCTTCAGGGTGTACTCTGAGTCACAGTAGTCCCCCTCCATAATGGAAGGCTCTTAATGGCAGGTGGTCTTGAGCGAGTATTCCGCCATCGGCATCAGCAGGGAACCCCAACAGTGGCAGCGGCAACGGCAGACTCTCTGGGCACCGGACCAATGTCCCCTTACATTGACACAGAATCAGTGGGTTGGACCCAAGACAAAGCCCAGGAAACACAGTTAACCCTAACCCTCCTGTCCGGGGCAACATCTCGCTAAACTATACAGAGACAACGTGTCTACAGGTGGACGGTGGTGAACTAAGTTACAGGAAGGACTTCTAATATCTTGGTGAGAATGTAACAGTAAGATCTTTCCAATAAAGTTCCTGTCTCTGCTATCCCACCATGTTGTCTCACTTTTCCTGCAGCTTCAAGGAGTTTCTGTGTTCCTACTGGACTCTCTGTATTGTAAAATACATTGACAATTCAACAGAAAAAAAAAGGACTCCCCTTTATTGGCCAAGCCAAGTAGGCAGTTTTGGTAAAAGCATGTGTAGGAACCTTGCTACTAAAACCACCTACAGATACAGCCAGATTGTGGTTTAGTCCAAAACCTCCATTCTAAAAAGAAAGCTAGCAGAATTGGAAGGAGTAACCCTTTTTTTTTTTTTTTTTGCATAATGCTCATAATTGCAAGTGAAAGATCTCAAATGCATAAAATCCAAACTCACACATACTCTGTATACTATTACATGGATACATCTACATACAGTATTACGCCTTAGCAGAGTCCCTCTGAGAAAATCAGAGGGAGTTAATTGGCAGAAATCAGATAATGAGTTAGAAAGGAGAATCAATTAGCCAATAACACAAAGAAAAGACTCCTGCGGTGGAGGAGGAGTTCAGAGGTAAAAACCCCTAATGTCCTTTGAGGCAGGAAAGCCAGGCTTCAATTGTCAGGGTGGTGGAGGAGGTGAAAATATGGATCTGCAAAGCTGATGAATGGCAGACAACCATAAGACAATAAGCAGAGTGTAGGGAAATAGCTGAGAGGAGGAAGAAGCTTTATAATGAAGATGAAATAATACGCAGGCCGTGCCAGGCCTTGGCACAGTGCCAGGCAATGAATATCCGTCTGTCCTACCACCTCTATGAATAAGTTAATGAGCAGTGACTCACCCACGTGCATGAGGTCATCCTACCACATTACAAATTCCATTCTCTGCGGAACTGTGCAAATATATTGCGGTACACTGACAATTGGACTGGCATATTAGGAATTTCTTTTAATCTAGAAGAGTACTTCATGTCTAGGGCTTCATGTGTTGGAGACCTGAGATGAATGAATTGATTGAGTTTTGACAGACCACTTAAAGTGGACTTAGTTTCATAAGTGCCTGCTAGCTAAGTAATCTGTAAGAATAACACATCCAGGTATTTATTACCTGACGGAAATCCCAGTTATCTACATGACCATGCCTTCATCTGCTTTTCTCTTCATAAGGATAGCGCCATCTTTGTTCAGGCATCATTTAGTGCATGGTCTCCAAACTGATAGCCTTTATCTGGCCTTTGGGGCACTATTAATCCCATTGATATGAGGCACTATTCCTCCCACTGATACCAACAGTGGGGCATAATTCCTGCCACAGACACCAACGATGGGGCACTATTCCTTCCCCCTAATATCAATGATGGGACACTATTCCTTCTGATGTTACCAATGATGGGGCACTTATACCTCCCACTGTTACAAATGATGGCACAATATTCCTCCCACTGATACAAATGGTCCTCTCACTGACACCAATGATGGGGCACTATTCCTTCCACTGATACCAATGATGGAGCACCATTCCTCTCACTGACATCAATGACAGGGCACTATTCCTCCCATTTACACCAAAGATAGGGCACTATTCCTCCCACTGACACCCATGATGGGACACCTATACCTCTGATTGATACTGATACCAATAACAGGGCATTATTCCTCCCACTGGCACCAAAGATGAGTCACTATTCCTAGCACTGATACAAATGATGGCACACTATTCCTCCCACTGATACAAATGATGGGACTCTACTCCTCCCATTGACACCAATGATGGGGCACTAGTCCTCCCACTGACATCAAAGATGAGGCACTATTCCTCCCATTGATACAAATGATGGCACACTATTCCTACCACTGATACAAATGATGGGAAATTACTCCTCCCACTGACACCAATGATGGGGCACTGTTCCTTCCACTGATACCAATGATGGAGTACCATTCCTCCCACTGACACCAATGATGATAGGGCACTATTCCTCCCACTGACATCAATGATGGAGCACCATTCCTCCCACTTACACCAATGATAGGGCACTATTCCTCCCACTGACATCAATGATGGGGCACTATTCCTCCCACTGACCCCCATGATGGGACACCTATACCTCTGATTGATACTGATACCAATAACAGGGCATTATTCCTCCCACTGACATCAAAGATGAGGCACTATTTCTCCCACTGATACAAATGATGGGACACTTACACCTCTCATTGATACCAATAATGGATCACTATTCCTCCCACTGACACCAATGATGGGGCACTTATACCTCTCATTGATACCAATAACAGGGCGCTATGCCTACCACTGTTACCTATGATGGGATTCTATTCCACCCACGGACACCAATGATGGAGCATTATTCCTCCCACTGACACCAATGATGGGGCACTATTCCTCCCACTGATACCTATGATGGGACACTATTCCTCCCACTGACACCAATGATGGGGCACTATTCCTTCCACTGATGCAAATGATGGGGCACTATTCCTTCCACTGATGCAAATGATGGGGCACTTTTCCTTCCACTAATACCATGATGGAGCACAGTTCTTCCTCCTACCAACCACAGGTGCTATGTAATTTATTTACTTCTGCTGGCCACAATCCAGCCCCCCTAAAGTCTGAAGGACAGTAAACTGGTCTTTTGTTTAGAAAGTTTAGAGACCCCTGATCTAGATTCAAAATCTGCTTCATGGACTGAATTGCTGGCTCAGAGATGGCACAATCAAATAAATCCTGGTACCTATGTCAATCACAAATGTCTAAACAAAGTGTTAAAACACAGATTGGCCCCGGATGCATCCTCTAACCTTGTGACTTGGTACAAAGTTACAGTATTGCGATCTTATAATCGGGAGAGAGGAGACTGAAGAAATTCTTCCTTTTGCCTGCAGCAGACTGATGGCATCATCTTAGCCTAACCAAAGTCACTTGTCTGGAACTCACATGAGTGTATTTTAATGATATCATATACCGATGTTTTGAGAGATGATACTGGTAAGGCTCCTTTACATATGCAGTGGATCACTTTTCAGAGGGCAACTGAAAGGCAATATATTGCTTCCTTAGTGCCTGGCTTAACCTTTAAAAGCCTGGGCCACAACTGTGTGCATTGCAGGGCAGTTGTAGCATGGCCCCATTCCTTTGAAATTATCACATTTGGTGGCGGTCCTACCCACCGAACACAACAGAGGGTATTTGTTTTGCCACAAAGCATCATAACCACAGCATGTGTACAACCCCCCTCTGACTGCTGTGTTGGGTTTAGGGGGGTGGTCAGGGGGCAGTAAAACCATGGCATGCCTTTTTTTACTGTATATTGTGATGTGAAGAATTTACTCAGACCTGAAAATATTTAATGAAAGATCCACTTTAAATCCATATTTGTGCTCATGAATGATTACAGAACAGTCATAACCACAAATATATTTCAATCAGGGGCAGAATGACCATTTGGAAACTCGGGCACTGCCCGAGGTCAGTAGGGGGCCCCATGAGATGCCTCTAATACCTTTTTCATAGGCTTTTTTGAGTTTGGGCAAGGACACAATGGCCCCATGATCCCCTATTGCCCGGGGGCCCCATGAGTTGTCAGTCCACCCCTGATTTCAATGTAGAAGTCAAGCCATCAATGGACCAACTAACTGGAATATGTGATATTCTAATGATTTACTGTGTGTCCACCATGTTTCAAGCCTATCCTTCAAGAGGGTCACTGTGATCATGATTATTTATTTATTAGTTCAGGTATTTATATAGTTCTATATAGGGAGGGTGATCGGCATGGGGGGGGGGGGGCATTTACTGGAAATGATCCCCTGTATGGACGTCTCTGCAGAAAATGAAAGCTGGCTTCTTCTCCTCTAACTCCCACTGACTTTCAGCTGCTGTAGGGAAAGCCATACAGGGGATCGGTTGCAGTAATTGCCCCCAATAAGCGTACCCATCACCCTCCCTGTCCACCATATGTTTCCCCCTGCCACCCAGGCACCCCAGTGTGCCCCCACCCCCCTACCAGCTTTGCTCCTCTCCTTCCCACCGGAAGCAGCAATCACACAACAGAATCGTTCAGGATGGAGAGTGGGGGGAAGGATCCGGTAAATATGTCACATTTACCAGCCCCTTCCTTTCATGAACGAACATAACGAGTAATCGGTACTGATCACTCACTGTGTTCACTCATAACTAGAGCATCGTAAGCTGTGTTTTTTTTTTGGGGGGGGGGGGGGGGGGGGGGCTGTCAGATTGGCTGTATGGTGCCCTGTGGTTTCTAACAGCAGCTTTGTTTGTATGTTATGTATGGGAGTTTCCTTCCAGGTAGGTTATTGGCTTTTAATGAAATGGCTCCTAGTGTGTGATAGAGGAGAGGTACTCACATGAGCGGTTTGATGTACTGTGTAATAAATGTAAATAATGTGCCCAGACTGAGAATAGTAGGGAAATAATATGCATTTCACTATGCTCTGCAGAGATTCTCCAGCTTGGTGGAAAATCTCTGTTATTGCAGGTTATAGAAAGAAAGGAAAAAAAAATATCAGTTAATGGAAAACACTGAAGCAGCTCCTAGAGGGAAATCAGATGCCCCTCCACCCATCGTTCTCATTGTAAGTCCCTATTTAATCATTCCTTTTAAATTATGTATGCTCTCTTCTCTCTGCTGAGCATTAGATAAGTAATTAAAAATCAGGGTATTGGTTTAAAATGAGAAGTCATTGAAATCACTAAATAAAACCAATTACTGAATTGATCTATGTTTCTTGGATTAGAACAACAACTAATACCCTTTACCAGTTGTTCTCAACCCCATGTAAGTAATGACATGTGATAATAACATTTGATATATCTGTGCCAACCAGACAACCATTGTTAATGAAAAACACATTAGCACAGTTCTAAAACATCTAAACCCAAAAACAAAAATGTAATATATTGCTGTTTACTTTAGATGTAGTGACTGCATTCGTTTTTTTTTTCACCTGATGATCTTACCAGCAACACACTTTCTGTCCTACGGTGACAACACTCACTATAATGCAGGGGTGTCAAACTCAGATTCATCATGGGCCGCAAAGGCATTATGGTTGCTCTCAAAGGGTCAGTTGTATCTGTAAGACTAGATGTCCAGAGCACACACCCCATATGTCAAAAGCCCCCCGCCATCAGAAGTCAAGAGTCCCCCACCCTCCCTTACTTCACAGTGCACATCTCTTACCTTGTTCTGCTGCCGGTATGAGGCTAGGGATGGAGCTAGGAAGTAGAAAGTGCAGGGTCTGGAGCAGAGGCGGACTGACAACTCATGGGCCCCCGGGCAATAGGGGATCATGGGGCCCCTGTGTCCTTGCCCAAACTCAAAAAAGCCTATGAAAAAGGTACCAGGGGCATCTCAAGGGCCCCCTACTGACCCCGGGCCCTCAGGCAGTGCCTGAGTTTCCATATGATCAGTCCGCCCATGGTCTGGAGGAGGAGCAGAGGGAGGGCTGGAGTCTGCTGCATGCTGCTAACAAGGGAGGTGGAGACAAGGGGTGCTTTGGCTGCAGGATCTGTAGGAGGAATTCTGGCTGCAGACTGCTTACACCGGGGTTAGGAGCAAAGACGAGCTCTCTGCAGCTGCACAGAGAAGTGCAGGATCTGGAAGAGGAGTTTTGTCCTCCTCTCTGCAGCCAACTGCTGAGAAAAGATGGAGGTAGTGATGAGGGGGTGCCGCAGATGTAGAAGAGGTGCGAGGGTCACATGAAATGGCCTGACAGGCCACATTCGGCCCACGTGCCTTGTGCTTGACACATGTGCTATACTGTGTCTGTGATAGAGTAACATGCCACCCTTTTCTGCTCTCCAGATTTGGACTACAAGCACCTTCTTCAAACCTCAACCGCATTACAGAGGTACAGGGGTTTTATAGTTCACCAAAGATAGCTGGGAAAGCCAATAACAGTGGCTGAAGTTTCAGTTCAAAGCACAGGAAGTTACAGGGACACTGGATTTCTGGTAGAATAAACACATATTTTTTTTTTCTTGCAGAAAATGTAGTTATTCTGAAAAAAAGAAAACAAATGCAGCCAAAACATCCAGAGGCTGGTAAGCTGCAATATATTACATTTTTGTTCTTTAATACAATTTAAATGGTATGTATGAGTCGGGTGTATGCACTGCTCTTTTATACTTACACTTCTATAAGAGCAGTGTGGCTTTCAGCTTCCTTTGAGTAGCTTTATTACTTAGTAAGGGTGAAAAACAACGGTGCTCACCAAATTCAGCTTCCCAGAACTTCTGCGCAAATAAAAGATACTTAGTGTAGGTCCTGACTTCCAGTCCTTTCCCATTGGTAATATAGACTCTGACTTTCAGCTCATTAATCTTGGTATTTTAGACTCTGGGGTGGACTTACTAAAGGCAAATAGACTGTGCACTTTTGCAAGTGCAGTTGCACTAATTTTCCCCACAGCTTAGCAAATGTGGTAAAGTTCTGCTGATTCATCCAATCAAGTGCAAGCAAAATGCCATTTCTTAAATTTCCTTGCACCTGATTAGGTATTCTTTACAAAGTGAAGCTTTACCACATTTACATTTACTAAGGAAATTGAGTGCAACTACACTTGAAAAGTGCGCAATCTATTTACCTTTAGTAAATCCATCCCTCTGTTCTCAAGCCCACGTATCTAGGCATTGTAAACCCTAACTTCCAGCCCATTAACCTAGGTATTGTAGACCCTTACTTCCAGCCCATTCACCTAGGTATTGTAGACCCTTACTTCCAGCCCATTCACCTAGGTATCGTAGACTCTTACTTCCAGCCCATTCACCTAGGTATTGCAGACCCTTACTGCCAGCCCATTCACCTAGGTATCGTAGACTCTTACTTCCAGCCCATTCACCTAGGTATCGTAGACTCTTACTGCCAGCCCATTCACCTAGGTATCGTAGACTCTTACTTCCAGCCCATTCACCTAGGTATTGTAGACCATTACTTCCAGCCCATTCACCTACGTATTGTAGATCCTTACTTCCAGCCCATTCACCTAGGTATTGTAGACCTTTACTTCCAGCCCATTCACCTAGGTATTGTAGACCCTTACTTCCAGCCCATTCACCTAGGTATTGAATTCCCTTACTTCCAGCCCATTCACCTATGTATTGAAGTCCCTTATTTCCAGTCCATTCACCTAGGTATTGTAGTGTATTCCAGCCCATTCACCTTGGTATCGTAGACTCTTACTTCCAGCCCATTCACCTAGGTATCATAGACTCTTACTTACAGCCCATTCACCTAGGTATTGCAAATCCTAACTTCCAGCCCATTCACCTAGGTATAGTAGGCCCTTACTTCCAGCCCATTCACCTAGGCATTGTAGACCCTTACTTCCAGCCCATTCACCTAGGTATAGTAGGCTCTTACTTCCAGCCCATTCACCTAGGTATTGTAGACCTTTACTTCAAGCCCATTTACCTAGGTATTGTAGACCCTTACTTCCAGCCCATTCACCTAGATATTGTAGACCCTTACTTCCAGCCCATTCACCTAGACATTGTAGACCCTTACTTCCAGCCC